CCCCAGGTAGTACAGCACCCTAGTCTAGCTTACCCCAGGTGGTACAGCACCCTGGTCTAGCTTACCCCAGGTGGTACAATGCCCTGGTCTAGCTTACCCAAGGTGGTACAGCACCCTGGTCTAGCTTACCCCAGGTGGTACAGCACCCTAGTCTAGCTTACCCCAGGTGATACAATGCCCTGGTCTAGCTTACCCCAGGTGATACCATGCCCTGGTCTAGCTTACCCCAGGTGATACCATGCCCTGGTCTAGCTTACCCCAGGTGATACCATGCCCTGGTCTAGCTTACCCCAGGTGGTACAGCACCCTGGTCTAGCTTACCCCAGGTGGTACAATGCCCTGGTCTAGCTTACCCCAGGTGGTACAATGCCCTGGTCTGGCTTACCCGGTTGGTACAGCACCCTGGTCTAGCTTACCCGGTTGGTAAAATGGCCTGGTCTAGCTTACCTCGTTGGTAAAATGCCCTGGTCTAGCTTGCCCAGTTGGTACCATACCCTGGTCTAGCTTGCCCAGTTGGTACCATACCCTGGTCTAGCTTACCCAGTTGGTACCATACCCTGGTCTAGCTTAGCCGGTTGGTACCATACCCTGGTCTAGGTTACCCGGTTGGTACCATACCCTGGTCTAGCTTACCCCGAGTGGTACAACACCCTGGTCTGGCTTACCCAGGTGGTAGCAGATCCTGGTCTAGCTTACCGCAGGTGGTACAACACCCTGGTCTAGCTTACCCCAGGTGGTACAACACCCGCTAAGATTTCCTCAGGTGCTAGGATTATTGAGGTTTTACACCAGGAAGTAAAGAAATTAAAATCATCTGACTATTATTTAAATACCATAACTTTTCCAAAATATCAAATATGACAAAAATTGATTGGGCAGTTTAATAAATAGACTTCTATGACTGTCCAATCAGAGACATTTTCTTATAATCACAGAAATTATTATTGTTAACATAAAAGCAACCATCTACATGTAGGTATTCAAAAAAGGAAGTTCTGACAGTTATTTCATTATAATTTGTTTGTGTGGAAGGGTGTTTGAGTTTTCATGTTTACTTAAACACTCAAAAAAGAAAGCAAAAATTAAACTGAAACTATGATTTTAAATAGTTGTTTTGTTTTTATTTCCATATCAACAGAAGAAGTGTTATAGCAAAAACCAATAAAAAATTCAAGATATTAATGTTACAAACTAAAAATAATACATCAGTTTCAGTATATTTAAAAGTAAACAAGCAGCCTGTCGGCTGAGATAGCTCCGCTGTTAGCAATGCACATTTCAATTAAAGAACTGAAGATATCATTAGAAAATGAACAATATGTATAGTATCAAAGCAAAGGACCTTGCTGTTTTCAACAAGAATTCAAAAATATCACTTTTCACCAAAAATGACAAAAATAATCATCAAAATTAAGTAATTGAAGATATCACCACGAAATTAACAAGGTCCACATGTAATACCTATATATGTAATATAAAAGCAATCAGACTTGCAGTTTTTAACAAGAAGTCGAAAATCTCACTTTTTACCAAAAATGACAAAAATATTTACCAAAATTAGAGAATTGAAGATATCATTACAAAATGAACAAATCTGAGAGAGGTCCACATGTAGTACCTATATATGTACTATCAAAGCAATTGAACTTGCGGTTTTTAACAAGAAGTCGAAAATATCACTTTTTACTAAAAATGACAAAAATATTCACCAAAATTAGAGAACAAAAAATATCATTACAAAATGAACAAATCTGAGAGAGTTCCACATGTAGTACCTATATATGTAATATAAAAGCAATCAGACTTGCAGTTTTTAACAAGAAGTCGAAAATCTCACTTTTTACCAAAAATGACAAAAATATTTACCAAAATTAGAGAATTGAAGATATCATTACAAAATGAACAAATCTGAGAGAGGTCCACATGTAGTACCTATATATGTACTATCAAAGCAATTGAACTTGCGGTTTTTAACAAGAAGTCGAAAATATCACTTTTTACTAAAAATGACAAAAATATTCACCAAAATTAGAGAACTAAAAATATCATTACAAAATGAACAAATCTGAGAGAGTTCCACATGTAGTACCTATATATGTAATATCAAAGCAATTGGACTTGCGGTTTTTAACAAGAAGTCGAAAATATCACTTTTTACTAAAAATTACAAAAATATTCACCAAAATTAGAGAATTAAAGATATCATTACAAAATGAACAAATCTAAGAGAGGTCTACCCAAGGTACATATACACCAAGTATCAAAGCATTCAGGCTTGTAGTTTTCAAGAAGTCAAAAAAGTAAAACATTGACACAAGACGACGGACGCCGCCGGACAATCACTCATATGATAAGCTCCGCTCGACAAAGTCGACAGCGGAGCTAAAAATTCCAATCTCAGATATTTAAAAGATTGTACCTGATTGGCTACCTAACTCTAACACGTAACAGTTAGACCAATCGGAGAGCAGCTTGTTTGTCAACTGAAATTTCTGATATTTATCACTGTAAAAGCGTAAAGTAACCCCCTTACCTTCAAGTCTCGATGAATGACACAGCTTTTATGGATGTATTCTACTGCCTCAAGTATCTGCTGAATGCAGTGACTGCTACAAGCAAGAGAAAACTGATGCTAAAAAATAACATCTAAAAAACACCCACCTTTAAATCACGATGAACAACCCCGTTTTTATGGCAATGGTCCACGGATTCAAGGATCTGCTGAATACAGTGACTGCAAGACAAGCAAACATGAACACAAGATCAAAACGACACAAAAAGCACGTTACATCACCACGTGGCGAGCGAGCTTGGGAAGGATACCAGGATGAGGAAAAAGAATGTTTCAGGAAACCAGGAGACACAGTGGATGGGAAATAAACATCAAATCCTTGATATACAAGTAGTAAAAACAAGAATCAACTTATTTTCTGAGCATGTTGAAGCCATTTCAATTCTTTAATTGCTAAGGGCAAAATAAAAAAAAATCTTGGTCAAAATTGTTTTCTAAAATCAATGTATGCAGACAGGTTCTTATTTTATTTTAAAACTGTCACCGAATTTGTGATTTGTTTGAGATTTACTTACATATTTACTAAAATTCATGCACAAAAAAGCTGCGACACATGTGGTTACCAAAAATATTTTGTTTATCTGACCCAAAAAAGATTACATATTCTGTCACTTAAACAAGTTTGATAGATTCAGCATCAGTGTTGCTGGTCACGCTCAAGATTGATCCTCATCAAAACACAATTTAATTTTCATGGAATACATTGTATAATCATTCGGTAGCGAGATGCAGTGGGGTATAAATCACCATGACAACCATTTGACATGCACGTGATACAGTAAAACAGCATGCAATAATATTGTATAACCACAAATATTGCCATAGACTAGGAAATCAGTTGCTTGTACAACATTTGATTGAAAAAAAAACCCAGTGATGTGACAGAAATTCACTGGTTGCGAAACGTGCTGGGTTGTTGTCTGTTAACGCAACTAGGAAGGAATTGGGACCAACAGTGTACTTATTTAAGCTTTGAAATACCATACTTCAAAAATACCATGACCCCTTAACTGTTAGATAATTGTTGTAAGTCAGTCCCTAGCTGTTACTATTGGTACATGGTTAGGGTGCCTTATGTTGAAATGTATTATGTCCCTTAGATCAGAGAAACTTTGTAACAATGCTTGTGACCCCTTAGGTTTGAGATATTGGCACTCTGATATGACCCCTTAGGTCAGTAGAATTAGTGATTATACACATAGATAGACATGTAAATACTAACCTAGCGTCTGCTTCACTATAGTACTCCCTGGCTACTATGTCTTCAAATAGCTCACCTCCGGTTACCCTGCAAAATAAAAAAAAAAAAAAAAACGATAATTATTAAATTCAGTTCAGTCCACTTTTGTGAGCTTCCCTAAGAGGAAATGAGAATATTAAAATCAACAATATTCAAATGACGAAAAAGGAAGTCCCAGAAGAGATATGTACCAATAATGTATGTGAGTGACACTTTTTTAAATTTTAATAACATAACGATAAATACTCCCAAATATCATCAGACACATGAAACTTAAATAAACCTATATTACTTTTCGTAAGTGTACCCTCTAAACAGAACTGATTTTGTAGGGTTCGTAGGTCACAATGCAATTTCATAAATCAAGTTGGGTCACCTTGGTAACTGCTGGGGAAAGAGGTACATTTAGTCAATAAAAAACAAGCCATGCATGTCACAGTCCCCATTAGTTATAAAATTTAAGCTATATAGTTTTGTATATAGTAATACACTTTGAACATAAACAACTTGGAGACATGGACCCAGAAACTGATGCTTCAATATGATGATTTTTTTGACATGATTTGATTGACTTTCAGTCATCTTGCTCTGGAACAGCACCAATTAAAAAAAAATGGCCACCAGTAGGCCATTTTGAATCCAGTCTCTGAACGGAGACTAATAAAGATTGAATCTGGCAAGAGTGAAATTCTGAATGCATAAACACTAGATAGATATGATACTTTACTTTCTTCATTTTCACACTTATTTTTTTTATAAAATGTGAAATCTATAATTACCAAATTATGCAACTATAGTAAGTTGTTTTTGAAGATTACTATATCAATGTACGATTTTCTGTTGAGTCAACGACGGACCACTTAATGAGCACACATGAAACTATTTGTGTCATTAAAAAATCTCTGGCCTCACTGAAGTGTCATATTGGTTCAGAGGATACAAGCCAAGATGACAAGTCACTGACTCAAGATTGTACAGTTAATCATAACTATGGTCAATTTTTTTTTTAACTGTTGATGAAAAAAATTGGTGAAATTTTTTCTCAATTAAACAAAGTTATAAACTCATAAAGTTGGATATACTTACAGATCAAAGACTAAGTAGTGGAATCCTTCCTCAGCAATACTATCATGTAGTCGAACTGAAGTTGAAACAAACAAACAAACAAACAAATAAATAATTGATCATTTCAGAACATTCAATGCCCAATAAATTTGCTGATCTACTCATATATGAAACGTATACATGGCGTCTGATCTGTCAAAATACCACCTGTGAGCATGAATAACATGTCAATAAATGATGCGTTGCTAGGAGACAACTAATGTATTGGATTATGTTGGGGAAAATACAGTCAATTTTAGACAAAATCAATCGTCTAATGTTGATATGATGGAATATTTTGAGAAAAATATAATTAATTATATTTAATTTTGATTTGTTAAAATATGTAGAAAATAAGTTTCAATGCACCATTTGTGAACTTTCTTTGGTAAGACCATAACTAATGCACTGTTTTGTATTTCAAATTATTGTTTATATATGTATGCGATATGTGTGTGATGAACATATTGAATAAATTAAACTAAAAAATTACAGTCAGCATCCTTCATGATTGTTATCTTGTTGGAATATGTCGAGTAAAATACAATCGACAACTATTTTTGAATATTCAATTGTTAGAAAACATTGAAGAATTTCCGCAAAATAAATTTGAGCTTGATAAAATCCACTAGACTAGACAAACATATTGTTGTTCTCATTTTCACATAATATATTCATGAAGTCATGATGGCAAATCATGAATTATTAATGCAATCATGGATTATTAAATATCAATAAATCTGATGAAATTATACAAGATAAAAAGATAATGAGACAGGATTCATGCACTTCAATAGACTGTCAGTTTTCTATCAAGTCTCTGTTCAGGAGAAAGGGTTTTCTTCGTAATAGTGAATTACGACACCACTCAATCTCTCCAATTCAAGTCAAACTAATTACCAGGCATTCACCAGAACGTTGACTGATTGTTAACTTGTCTCAGAGTTGGTACAAAGAATCGCAAATAATTATTATTAGTAAATTATCAATTATGAAGGCAAGCATCGATAATCGGAATGCCAGGTGGCTGCCAATATAAATAAGGCCAGAGAATTAAATTGTTTGTTTCGCACAGATAAAAATACCTTTAAATGAATAGTTTCCCAACAACTAAAATGGCACAGGACGTCATCAGCAACTAAAAGATCATCATCTCCGTTGCTATGCCTACAGGGTCTGTGTATTACCGTATGTTTCATTATGCACATGTACATTTGCCAGTCGACGGGCATACTGTTAATTCTACATCTTGCATTGCAAAGTTTGGCTTCTGTGGCAGTGTTAAACAGGGTTGATGTACGGCCTAGTTTTTATGAATTGAAGACAGATACCAAGGAGGTCTGTGAATTTGGAATTTGACTCTTAGTAGATGTAACTTTGAAGCAAATCAAACTTCATGAATAGCTGTCGCTAAGCATATCTGAAGACGTTAGATTCAGGTAAACAAAAAGTAAAATATCGACGGACACATTAATAACAGCTGTGGCATGGAAATAATTTCTCAAGGGCTTTGTACAGGCAATAAACTTCGTTGGAATACAGAACAAGTCATCAAAAATCACAGCAAAGTATAAACCCAGTTGGGATTGAAAACGTCTTTATCGTCTGTGCACGCTGTCCTCGTTTGATCTCGTTCACACGCTGTACCACGTTCTATGATTACATCAGACCTAATTTTAGGATAATCTTGTAATCGTGTCAAATACGATTAGCTGAGTGTCTCTTTCTGCCTGTAGCGGTACCTGACATAACACAAAGTCAGAACGACAGCCTGTGGCTATTTCCTTTCTCAGTTGTACAGTGAATGATGAATGATACATATGTAAGAACTTTCCAACAAACTAATTGGATTAGAAACCTTTTGAACTATGAAAAATATACTGTATATCTTGCTTCCAGTACGGGGATTACTCCTAGGCCAAATTATTTTTTCCGACAAAATGAATTATTAGAATGCATTAATACATCAACCTATGACAGATCTGTTGATCTACTGTAAAATACTTTATTTTAGATGGAATCAATTTTTGCTGAAAAAAATGTTGGGCGTTTTGTACATAATTTATTTTCCCCGATTTTTGATGTAAAATATAGAAAAACATGTATTATGGCTGGATTTTATTTTCACTGAATCATCCCTTCCGCATAAATAGCAAAAATAAGGTATTTTACAGTATGACAGAACCGTTGACCTACAAAAGATCTGTTGGACAGATTTGTTGAACTACGACAGATCTGTTGAATTTTCAACCATCCCTGATAAGTCTACAATTCATGCTACACGGAAAAGGATAGACAACATGGTAATGCGGAGTTTACATCATCATACATTTGTATTTACTGAAAAAATCCTCATGCTTACTTGAGCATAACAACAAACGTAATCTGCATGTCCCACCAGTGCAGGATTTCCATAGGGAATTACCAAACTAAGAATACCCTCCATCCATAATCAGCAATAATAATGAATCAAGTGTCACATGACAATTTGGGGTAGGAAATCCAGTTGTTAAAAATATTGCTAAAAAATCATTTTTATGGACAACTCTTTGCATAATTTATCAAAAGCAGAGAGGTTGTCACCTGCACAAATGCAAGAGTTGGGTCCTAGTCAATGATAACGACACTAAAAATGCAAAGGCTCATGGGTAGGCAGAGACAGACAATAGCCAGGTGGGGGCAGGCTGCTGCATAGCCAGGTGGGTGGCAGGTGGGGGCAGGCTGCCACATAGCCAGGTGGGCAGCAGGTGGCAGCCCAGCCAGGATAGCTGGGTGGGTAACACTAGACAGCCGGGTGGGTGGGTTGCACTAGACAACCAGGAAGGTGGCACGAGACAGCCAGGTGGGTGGCACTAGATAGCCAGGTGGGTGGCACTAGACAGCCAGGTGGGTGGCACGAGACAGCCAGGTGGGTGGCACGAGACAGCCAGGTGGGTGGCACGAGACAGCCAGGTGGGTGGCACTAGACAGCCAGGTGGGTGGCACTAGACAGCCAGGTGGGTGGCACGAGATAGCCAGGTGGGTGGCACGAGATAGCCAGGTGGGTGGCACGAGATAGCCAGGTGGGTGGCACGAGACAGCCAGGTGGGTGGCACGAGATAGCCAGGTGGGTGGCACTAGATAGCCAGGTGGGTGGCACGAGATAGCCAGGTGGGTGGCACTAGATAGCCAGGTGGGTGGCACTAGATAGCCAGGTGGGTGGCACTAGATAGCCAGGTGGGTAGCACTAGATAGCCAGGTGGGTGGCACTAGATAGTCAGGTGGGTGGCACTAGATAGCCAGGTGGGTGGCACTAGATAGCCAGGTGGGTGGCACTAGATAGGCAGGTGGGTGGCACTAGATAGCCAGGTGGGTGGCACTAGATAGACAGGTGGGTGGCACTAGATAGACAGGTGGGTGGCACCGAGGATGTAAACAATTTTCATAGGTAACAACAGTGGGGATATAATTTTCATGATATGTACATTTAAACAAATGCCTCAGGATGGCATATTTTTATGTACCCATTGTAATTATATAGTACATGTACATTTTTATCTGTCTTGGAGTCACAGTTCAATCTGTCAAAACAGGATACCTCATTTATGTAAATGATATACTAATGTTTTTTTTATGTTTGGCAATTCAGAACAAACATGCACATTTTTTAATAGGTGATTTTCCGTACAATTACGAGATCTCGCGAGATGCATGAAAGACGCGCGTCGAACGTCTGCCGCAAAAATCGAACGATTTGATTTTGAACTCAAATTTCCTTATTTCATAGCTCACACCGACCAGCCGATCTTCGACAGAGGAATATTGCTTCCGAATACCCTTACTTAATCGAAATTGCCTATCATCAAATGTGGACAGCACATTATTAAGCATGGAAATGTCCCCAAAATACTTTCGCGTTTGTCGAATCCCACGCGATGTTTGACGCCACTACGACGCTATGACCTTTGTTTGTCCTGTTTTTACGTTCGATTTCACGCATAACGCGTGATTCTCGCAGTGTATGGAAAATGGTCTATTTCTTGATCATTTCTCATCATTACTTTCCGCTGCCTTAATTTACATCATTTGACATGAATACTGAAGTATGAAATAATGATGAATTGTTCGTGTGTTTCAATTAAAAACTGTAAAACGACAACACTTCAATTTGTAATCTGCTAATTAAAACATTTCCGGATTTCACAGCAAGAGGGCACACAGCAATAAAACACTTGGTATATTATTTGTGGGTTTCTGTTAAATAAATATGAGCCAATGACATTCTTTGATTTGAAAATGGTGTTGGTACATGCACATTATCATATTTTACAAACACCAATTAAATTCAAATAACTTGATATGCGATAAAATCAATTTTTAAGCTCTACTGTTTGGCGCTTAATATAAGTTTTTGAAATGGCATCAAAGAGAAAATCAGAATGAGAATAAAATATTTTATTTGGTGAACAAAACAACTAAATTGTCAATCAGTTAATTGATTATATTTCAGCATTTTTGATTGCAACTTACAGTAACCTGGGGAACCAAAGAGGCATTTTTCAATTCAAACCTTTTCAATCAGAATTCGGTCTCTGAAATTCTCACTTATACAGAAGTATGAATGGTAGCTATGTTACTAGAATTTCAATCAAAATACAGGCTGAATGCAAGCCTTCAAATATTGAAATAAATATGATCTAAATTCACAGAAATGAAAAACCATAATAGTGATCAAATGTCATACAAGAGCAATTCTACACTGCTCGTCTTTGTTGTCTTGAATTGAACAGACAATCTCAGTTCTGTTTCCATTAATCAAACGTTTCTGTGGTTATAATGAGTGTTCATGACATTCTGTGATGTTAGTGGTCAAGTTTGGAACTCAAAATAGCCACAAACTTTAAGCTCTGGCGACAGTGTTTGATTGAATTAAACAAATTACCTCAAAACAGTTAATGCAGAGTCAGTCCAGTTGGAATATAATTTTTAAATAAAGAATATAATTGCAATTAATTTTAATTAACTTAGTGATTAATCAGATGCGTATTATCTACCAAT